AGTTTAATGAGTTTAATGAGTCTAGTTCAATTTATATTCCGCATTGATGCTCAAACCTTCATCCTCAGATCTCTGTGTCTCAGCTCCCGTCTACGATCTCTGTCTCAGCTTCCGTCTACGATCCCTGTCTTAGCTTCCATCTACGATCCCTGCCTCAGCATTTATCTACGATCCCTGTCTTAGCTTCCATCTAAGATCTCTTCATCATATTCACTGTGAATACTTTCTTTTCAGCCTGATAATACCTGCAAGTGATATGTGTTTACATCATGTGTAACCTCTCTCCCTCTCTCTTGTTTATACCATGTATCCTCTGTCTATTGTCTGCTCCTCTGTTTATACCATGTATCCTCTGTCTATTGTCTGCTCCTCTGTTTATACCATGTATCCTCTGTCTATTGTCTGCTCCTCTGTTTATACCATGCGTTGTTTCCTGTCCTTTCTGCTCGAAACACCGACAAACACAGGTGTTTCGAGCCTTTCCGAGTATATTCAGTTGTTTGTAATATGTGAGTGGTGTTTGTGTGTGTGTGTGTGTGTGTGTGAGTTATGTGCCTTGCATTCATGGGTGTACCGTTGGTGTACTTACATGTACCGCATGGTGTACTTGCGTGTACCGCATGGTGTACTTGCGTGTACCGCATGGTGTACTTGCGTGTACCGCATGGTGTACTTGCGTGTACCGCATGGTGTACCCTGGCAGTGAGTGCCTAGAGTGGGGGGTGTGGGGTGAGGGCATTCATGAGAGCTCAGTCAGGCCAGTTCAGCTCCCGGGCCCCGGCTCCAGCCTTGCTTCCTTCCAAGTTCTGTCTAAAACTTGGCTGCAAACTTAATCCTCAGCTTTACTGTTGCTTGAATTGACTTTTATCATATAACTGAAAGCTTGTATTGATTCCCTAACTTGGCTTCTGACTTTGTTTTGAAATTGGAACCCTCAGGCTTGACTCTATAACTGGCTTTTAGACTTAACTCTATACTCTGGACCATAGGCTTTACTTTGTAACTTGGTCCTAAGTTTTACCCTATAACTGTATCCTAGGCTTCACTCTGTAATTGTACCCCTTTGGCTTCACTGTAACTGTACCTGTAATTTCATTCTGTATTCAGAGCAAAACACAGAGTTAGACTCTTGCTCTGTAACTTCCTTTTGAAGGTAAACTGTACTTTTGCTCTATACCTGAAGGCTGTGGTATTCACACTAATCTTCTTTCATATATATAAATTTAATATATATGTGAAAATCTCCTTTACAGCCATGTCTATGTTTTTCTTCTTATGTTTAGAAAAAGGATGATTTGTGATGAGTAATGATGACCTGTGTGATGACTTGAGATAACTTGTGATGACCT